CCGCGGCTCGGGCGCGCGCGTTGCTATACGAGTGCGATCTTGCATAACGGGCGCAACAAAATGTTCAAAAAAGACAACGAATTAGGCCAAATGAAACAATTATTGATTTAAAATGATAGTCAACTACTTACTATTATAATATTATAGTATTATACCATAGAAAAAACATTACTTTACTATATAACTTAAAGTACAAAGATACACTATTATAAGAATTGTTTTTGTAAATAAATATAAAAAACACATTAACACGTGAGTTAAGTATAGGTAAGTATAGAAAGACAAATACATATTTAAGAATAACATTTTATTTAAATATAATTTTTATTATTATTAATATTTGAATGAATTAATGCGTATAACAAATAAAATTGTTCAAAGAAGTCAACACATTAAATAAAACAATTATTGACTTAAAAAGAAATAATTAACAATTATAGTATTATTATTAGTACCATCATAGCAAAAACATTACTTTAGTATATAACTTAAAGTGCAAAAATACGTTATTATAAGAATATACGCTGTTATAACAATGAGAAAAATATTCGATCAGATGACGATCAGATAATCCTCGACTATCTCGTGACCAAAGGAGAGGCAAAGAACGTGCAATAAATTATTTGCTATGTAAAGCTTTATTTTTTCCTTAAAAAACATAATTTCGTAACCCTGAAACCTGTAAAATATACCGCAAACTAACAATAAGATATCTAATCGATATGTCACGTAAAAGTGTAAAATAATTCCTGAAATGCTCAGCTGTCAAAAACTGTCGCAACACTGCCGCAGTGATTTTTGACACAATAAGAAATATAGGGGAAAGTTGCCTATATCGTACCCCCTAACGTTTAAACAAAATTGTAAACAAAAGTACTGAAGATATCAGAATATTTCTGTACTAATATTAAACTTTGGTTCATTGGCAATAAAACAAAACGATACTTTTGCGAAAATAAATATTAAACTATTATTTAGGGAAATATGTAGATTAGGGGAGCCCCCCCCCAATGACCTTGACCTTGACATATGTTGTCAAGGTCATGACCCCGAG